AACTTCGTTTTGTTTAACGCATTGTTTAATAGCTGAATCTATATATTGTAGCAACCAAACAGCTGAATCTATATATTGTAGCAACCAAACAGCTGAATCTATATATTGTAGCAGCCAAGCAGCTGTAATAAGACAAATGTGCTCAAGCAGTCACACATTATTGTGAAAACAAGTTTATGAAATTAAATCTGAGAATAGTGTCTTAAAGCTAAAAGGCCCCCAGTGGCACAGCGGTATGTCTACGCACCTATAACGCTAGAAAACGGGTTTCGATACCTGTGGTTGGTAGAGCAGAGATAGCCTTTTGGTAACTTTGTGATTAACTACAAACAAACAAACTTAAAGCTAAAAATAGTGTGTAACAAAGGAAAGTTGAAAAATAATCACCCAAAATACAGTAGAAAGTGTTTCCTAGGAAAAATATTGGAATGGAATGTTCTAAAACATCTTTCTTCGTAATAAATGATAAAGATTCTGGTACGAAAATAAGTTCCAGTACAAACAGTGACCAAAAAATGGAAATAATACATTTTTAATGTAAAAATATCTTATGAGACAAATGAGCTAAACTGTCAGATCATAGACTCCAAGATTCAGGTATAGCCGTCTGTAATTTAGAACTACTGATCAGAACAAGGGCAACCACTCAGCAGCACTCGCCACCTACAAGGCTATACTTAACCCAGTAGTGGAGTTGGCTGCAGTCTTTGTAAAGCGGCCACGGCTGAAAGTACAAAGAGCATTTAGCGGCATATCACGGACTCGGAGTTTGAACCTCTTAATATGAAGCCTGTTATATATGCTAACTATTATGTCACGCCCGCTCCAGCAGTCGTTAGAAATACTGTTCAAGAAGAAATCAACACTTGCTGCAGTAAATGTACTTATTTACGAAAAAATCATTATCTGGAAGTATGATTTCTATAAAAACACTGTCAAAGAAGAAATAGAGGCAGGTGGTGTTGTGAAAACTGCTGCTTTCAGTTTATAATAGAATCATTGCCTTCAAAACAAAGATCGTTATAAAAACTTACAGAAGGCAATAACAACTGAATAAATTCAAAAATAGTTGACAAATACATTGTTATTTAGTATGGCAGAAGCTCTATAGTTAAATCCGTAAATGCTTACCTGTGAAAAATTATAGTAAAATGCATCTACTTTAAAAAATGTTTTTAACTTCGTTTCAACAGGCTTTTCGATATCATGATTAACAAAATTAATTAAAATAACCTGCTTAAAAGCTTTTTGCGCTAGTTGAATTTAATTTTGAGCTGACAGAATAGAAAGAAGATAACTAGTCAACAGCACCCACCGCCAGCTCTTGGGATACTCTTGTCTGACAGAATAATGGGATCTTGCGTAACAGGACGTGAAAGTTGGAGCCATTCATTAACTACTGAGCATCGCTGGGCCCAGTCTTTAACGTAGGCCATGAGGAAATAGATCATATATTAAACCTGATTAATTAATTTTAAAGACAAAACTCAATTTTAAACTCTACAAAAAATGATTTGACAAAAAAGCAGTGTTTGTTAGCTCGTCTATAACATAGTCAAATATTTTAATTTCATTGTACAAGTCACTGGTTAGGCCACATTTGGAATATTGTGGTGTTCAGTCTTTGGGCTCCTTACCTAAGGAAATACGTTGAATTATTGGTTTGTTTATAATTAAGCACAAAATTACACAATGAGCTATCTGTGCTTTGCTCACCACGGGTATCGCAACTCGGATTCTAGCGTTGTAAGTCCGCAGACATACCGCTGTGCCACTGGGGGGCTGAATTATTGGATTCTTATGAATTTCGCACAAAGCTACACGAGGGCTATCTGCGCTAGCCGTCCCTAATTTTGCAGTGTAATATTTTTATATCATAATATTGAGAAAAGTTTCTTTTAAATCGTTTCTCAAGTGCTTAAGTAACTTTCAGTTATATGATTAACACGACATAGACATTGAACTTTTTTCTAAGATTTATTGATAATATCGTAATTATATATATATTTCTTGACCGACCTAAAGTTGTTAAGAATTATAAAATAGCAGAACAAACAATAACTCGAAAGAAATAAGTGTTTGTAGGATTATAAACCGATCACAAGAAAGTTCAGCTCTATGTGTAATATTCTTGTTGTTATTTAACGAACAATGTCATGCACCTGGTACTGAAGCTTTATGCTTTATCAATTAAAAGTGGTTATTTGAGTCTAATAAGCACGGATTTGCTGTTTTGATAAAGCAACAAGTTACGTCAGCTTGACCACTCCCACTAAAAACCTGGACCACTCCTGTCAAACCACAAATAGAACATTTATTTACTCACACAAGTAAATGTCTGTTTCTCAGAAGTTCAGGAGTATAAGTTAGTGTTGGTAGGCTATCTGGAACCTCTCAAACACCCGTCGTACAAGCAGAATGGAAGCTATCAAGAAAAAGATGCAGACAATGAAACTAGAGAAGGACAATGCTATTGATCGGGCAGAAACAGCTGAACAGCAATCTCGAGAGGCTAATGCACGAGCCGATAAAGTAAGAAAACAGAATTTGATATATTTTGTTTCTTTCTTTTCTTTAATGAAACCTAAGAGACGCTGGAGTTAATTTTTGTTAATAATCATATTCAAACAAAACAAAAACTACGAAATATAAATAGCCTAAAAAATATAGAATAAAGTACTTCCTGAAATATGAATCGACTTTCACGTATAATCACTTTAAAATATGTCGTGTAATTTGTAAATAAACTGAGATAATAAAGATAAAAAGTAGGGAATTTCGGTAACTGAGAAGTTAAAATGCGAAAACATTGCACCATTTTTTAAACTCTTATATCCTCTTTTTAGACGTTTAATTTTATAAAATTATTTTCACCCGAGGTACCCCTCTTTAAAAGTTGAGCTTTCAAAATACTGTCATGCTAATTGTCCTGCCGTTGCTGTTCATCCAAAACATGAACAACTCTTTAAAAACAGTCAAATATTATGCCATAAAAAGGAAACTATGTATATCAGTTTCATGTGATTTTATGTACTGAATCTGATAATATTACAGTACTTGCATGTGATTGAGATATACATGAATGATCATATATGCTAGAGCAATTACTGGATGTTATTGCTGTAATGTGTTCTATCGTTGGGTGAGCTCTTTTGAATTATTTGATAAACATAATGCCAAGTCTAGTCCACGTAACGATAATGAATTAATTTCAATAATGTTTACTAATACGCTACATGCTATGTTCACTTTGATACAAGTTGTAAGCCTAAGTCCACAAACAACGTTTCAATAAAAACTGCGATAATAATGTACGCCTAACTTATTTATAAGCTTTTCAAAAGCAATTTCCCTCTAATCGATCAATTAACTCAATAGATGCGATAATTCTCGCTACTAATACTGAAATGAATCACTCACTGAATACTCATTAATTCACTGCTTCTCGTATTTATATCGCACGCTTGTTTCTATATACTGCACGAAATCGTCATTATAACATACTGACACGCTCTCTCTAGCAAACAAACATTCAAATTAAAATATTAAAAATATAACTTACACCATTATTTTGCAGTAGAAGTATATGCGATTGACAAGATTGAGAACGTTTTTATAAAAGTCAAGGTGCCAGATGTGGAAAGAGAATAAAATACATTTTTAAACTGTTGTTGTTAAGCATAAGATTACACATTGGACTATCTGTATTGTGCCCACCACAAGTATCGAAACACGATTTTTAGCGTCCTAATCATGTAGGCATCGGAGGGTCTTTTTTGAATATAAATGTGTAAAATATTTTTGTTTTAACAAAATTAAAGATAACTTGATCGCCACTGAATACTTGAAAATAAACCGCAACGAGATTGGAACTTCAAAAGAAGTGATTGTTCAGAAACACCATCTTGATAGAAATCAAACATCTGTTGTGAGCTTTTAGGCACTTTAAATCATATAACATTCTGCAATACAGTTACTTAACATTCTTGTGCAACCACTTCACCAAATATGGGTAGTGACTAGTTTTTCTTCTTACGAGATATCTAATGTCAGAGAAAAGACAAATAAACAAGACAGAAGAAAAACAATGGCTGTTTTGTCTAGACTCCCAAGAAGACTGCTCGGCTAAGTTCGCACGTTTAAAACCATTTACAATGAAATCTGTTGGCATTCAAATCCCACTTACCAACCCAAGTCACGTGAGTGGCCAACAAATCTTTGCGTAAGTGATAAAGCATTTCATCACTCAATATATAGACTACAGTAACAAGGAACGTCTCACCGACCACGAACAGGCTTCTACATTTAGCACAAATAACTTCTAAGTTTAAATAGCACATTTTTAACTTGACTCTCAATCCAAGAAATGTTTTGTTATTTGTCCTAATTACTGTTATTTGTCATAAAATACTGAAAATATCTTAAAAGTGTTCGATCATTTGTTTGTTAAAAAAATAGTTATTTGAAGGTACTATACTTATAGACCGTTTTAAAGCTACTCATTCACGATTATTATTTATTTTCAGTCGCTACGCGTTCTTAAATTTAACTCACATTATATATCGCGCGATTTATAAGCTCTAGAAATCATAAAGAGTAAATAATATTCATATAATAAACGATACACTCAGGAACATGCGAAGGGATGTCTCAGCTAAATAGTTGACTTGTTTCAATCTGGTGATTAAATTCAGTTTTATGATCGTTAACACTTTCCAACATGTGTGTGCATACATATATTTATAACCTTACTGTGAGTGTGCATGAAATGTCTCTGGTAAAATAGCTTTGAATATCACTTTGAAATTTAAAGAACTTCAGTAGAAAATCATTCAAATCATTCTTTATCCAACCAAATGAAACCGAAACCAAAGCAGCCTTAAACGCAAATGCGTTTATTTGTTTGTTTGTTTAAGCTCAAAACTACACAATGGACTATTTACTCTCTGTCCAATACGTAGATTCGACTCCCAGATTTTAGCATTGTAAGTCCGTAAACTTATTGCCAACCCACTGGGGATCGCAGTAAAGTATTTGTTTTTTGAAGTTAAGCACAAAGCTACACAATGGGCTATCTGTGCTCTGCCCACCACGGGTATCGAAACCCGGATTCTAGCGTTGTAAGTCCGCAGACATACCGCTGAGCTACTGGGGGGCGTTGTAAAGTAAGTGACTCTTACAAGCAAATTAAAAAGTGTTTTGTTCTTCTATCGCATTTATTTCTTCAAAGTAATAACTGTGTATTTCATATGAGTCTTAGTTAATTTTTAGGGGGGGGACAATTCCCTCTAAATCCCCACTAGTGCGCAATTTCATGATTAATAGAGCATGCGAAATGCTTGGGGTCTCGTGCTAGCTAAGAGCGGCACTGAACAATTTATGTTTTAAAGTCTTTTAAGTAGCCTGTGAAAGTATATTCTTACAATTCTTACATATTTATTAAATGTTGACTTTTTTTCATACTATATTAAAATTGGATATATTATTAACAACACAACCGCGTATAACAACAAATCTAAATGCCAGACACACCAAGTAAACAATGTCTATGCAAGCCACCAAAGCCATAATGCATTGATACAACGCGTAGCCAAACAAGCCAATCATAACGTAGTTTTCAATCACATGAGACAAGTCAAAATTTCGACTACGCATTGAATCAAAGTGTAGTCCTATATATCGTCAGCCAACAGTATATACGGATTTCCACAATGCGTTAAGACGATATATTCTGGATCTTTTAGCTACCGATTACAGATCCAGAATGCGTTTATTCAATGCGTTATGGGCCCGATGGTTTTCCATAAACATCACCTTTCGAACACTAAAATTATTGTGGTTTCATAAGGAGAAAAGGGTGTATTGTGGGTGGTTTGTTTTACACAGAACCACGTGTGCTGCCCATAATAACTTTCACAGTACGTTTTACACTTAACTGTAACTTAGCCTGGACCCTTATCAACTGTTAGTCCGCCTAGTTGATGCACGAGTTCATTGTAAACGATACAGATGGAAGTACTTGTTAACATCACTATAGGACGATAAAATTAAATAAAATACTTAACATTGCTGAAGATCTGCAAAGAAATAGCATATTTTGTTTTAAAAAAGATCTAGAGGTAATATGTGTTTTAAGCAAGAAAACAAAATAATAAATTTTATACTGTATACGACAGTGAACTGTGATGAACAATTATTTTTGAATCCTGGGCCTAAAATATCTAAAATAAAATAGAAACATGTAGACATTTAAATATATATTATTAAATTACACGTGAAAATTTAGAGTAAATCATGACAGTGTACATATTTGTTTTTTAATTTGTAAACTAATTTGTGCAGCCAATTGTGAGAGCCCCTTAAATTTCACATAGAGGAAAAATTTAAAATTTTGTAAAGTGTAACGATAAATTCTTGCTTTGAAGGACCACTTGCATGTTCTTGCCAGTTTTCATATCGGTTCGTGGAGCCAATCATGAAAACCTTGAAAACCCCTATATGAGGGCTCCAACGTGAAAGTTTAAAAAAATTTAAGCGTTGGTAGTTATTTTGAACGATCCCACAACTGTCCATATCAATTTTCTTACAAATCTGTGAATCCAGACCTGGAAACCCCGTAATCCCGTTGACATCCATATTGGAGCTCTAATTTTAAAGTTTTTAAAATCTGAAGTTAACTCTTTGTTTTGAACGGCTCTCTATGAGTTTATACCAATTTCCAAGTAACTTTTTTCGGCCAAATCGCGACAACCCACTAAATTTCTTTTTTCTCTCTCAATTTTGGAGCTCATCATGAATATTTAGATTTTTTTCCATGTTTATTTTTGTTGAAGTTAAGAGTCTACGTGTAAAATTTCAAGTTGTTTTATCAAAAATTGTATGAGGTGATAAGAAAATGAAGTAAACATAGTAATATAAATACATATGTATGTTCAAAGGAATTGCCATATATGAAGTATTGCATACTGCATTCTTTACGCTTTCATTTCGTGTTTATGTCTCAGCGAATAGCACTGACATAGTTGTATAACCATGTCATCTTTTTCGCTTCAGCCATTTATACCTTTGATAATATCACCAGGCTTATAAAAACACCTGGTGGACGACAAGTGAAATATGGCTTTTCTCTTATATTAAAACGATCTTATGACGTTGGAACTCACTATAAACGTAAACAAGGGAAGCGGACTAATAAATTTAGGTTTACTCTAAACGTATACTGTGTGCGAAAGGTGTCACCGTATAGTACGAAATAATTTACTGAAATATCGTAATTAACTTCAGATCCTCCAACGCCTAGAAGGATGTTGTCTAGCTCGGTATTCGAGTTGGAGTAACGAGACATGTATAACATATAAACATGATTTCATGACCTCGAATATTTTAGTAATCTTAACACTGACTCAATAACAAGTTAAACTAACTTTGCACTGATGGCTCTAAGTACTGTTTTTTTTTACATACTTTAAAACAACAGTTTGTTTCTTTTGCGTCATATAATACCAAACATTAAAGTGGGTGATACTTACAATATCACTTTAAAATTGGTCTCTCTTTTCAACTTTTATAAAACTTTAGACAATCTAGAACCATTTTTTGCGAGTAAAATAGTCATAGTTAATGTACACTTCGGTTACTACGTTCGAAACCATTAAAGTACCTCTAATTAGTTGGTAAACATTACAATTATCAAAAATCCAATTGTTAAAGTGTATTCACCTGTTTAAAATTTATATTACAGCTCTAGAAACATTTCATTTTTTTTAGATTGGTAACCACAACATTAATTGTTTGGAAAACATAGAAACATACACATAGTTCTAATTACGAACCAAAAACGTAGCAATACTTCACCTCTCTCAAACAAATTATAATAAAATTACTTTCACTTTGTATGAGAACCCAACACAAATTATTTCTCAAATCTTGCTTTCCTTTGTACCAGAATCAACATTACGTGTTTCTCAAATCTAGTCTCCTTTTGTATCAGAAGCAGCACTACATGTTTCTCAAATCTAGTCTCCTTTGTATCAGAATCAACACTACATGTTTCTCAAATCTAGCCTTTTTTGTATCAGAACCAACACCATACGTTTCTCATTACTAGCCTTCCTTTGTACGAGAGCCTAAAACTATGTGTTTCTCAAATCTAGCCTTCATTTGTATCAGAATCAACACCACAGGTTTCTCACATCTAGCCTTCCTTTGTATCAGAATCAACACTACATGTTTCTCAAATCTAGCCTTTTTTGTATCAGAACCAACACCATACGTTTCTCATTACTAGCCTTCCTTTGTACGAGAGCCTAAAACTATGTGTTTCTCAAATCTAGCCTTCATTTGTATCAGAATCAACACTACAGGTTTCTCACATCTAGCCTTCCTTTGTATCAGAATTAACACCACATGTTTCTCACATCTAGCCTTCATTTGTACCAGAATCAACACCACATGTTTCTCACACCAAGCCTTCATTTGTACCAGAACCAACACTACGTGTTTCTCAAATCTAGTCTTCCTTTGTACCAGCACTACGGGTTTCTCAAATCTAGTCTTCCTTTGTATCAGAACCAACACCACATGTTTCTCACACCAAGCCTTCATTTGTACCAGAATAAACACCACATATTTCTCAGATCTAGTCTTCCTTTGTATCAGAACCAACACTAAGTGTTTCTTAAATCTAGTCTTCCTTTGTACCAGCACCAGCACTACGGGTTTGTCATAATTTCGATACTCTAGTGGGCAGACCACAGATAGCCCATTGTGTAGCTTTGTACTTAACAACAACAAAATCAACCAAAATCAAATGAATAGTTACCTTGAATCCAAGGGCACATCAAAGAGCATTTATCACATCTAACTTTCATTTACATCAGAAATCACAATAATGATGTAACATTCTAATGATCCATTTGTTGTCCAGGCTGATGAAGAAGTGAGAGTTCTTCAGAAGAAGATCCAGCAAATTGAAAATGAATTGGATTCAGTTCAAGAACAACTGACCAGTTTCAACATCGAACTAGAAGAAAAAGAAGTTTCCCTTCGGAATGCAAGTCCAATTTTAGTTTTTATTTGTTTATTTCACTAAACCCAACAATCTCAACAAAACAAGTAGATTATAATTTATCTTGAGGAAAAATGAATTAAGACATGTTCACGATTTTCGGCGACTTAGCATGTTATTTATTTTCTCATTTCTTGACATCCACGTTAAATATATAAAGTCGACTCGATGTATGTAATATTTATCTGGTATTTTTTCTAAGAATCAATGATATATTATGTCATATGATTCATCACTAATCTAAACAGAATGACAATTTTGTCTAAAACATAAACGTTTATGAAACACTAATACAACCTACAATTTGTTTGTTTTGTTGAATTTCGCGCAAAGATTCTCGAGGAATAGCTGCACTAGTCGTCCGTAATCTAGAAATGATAGACTAGACAGCTAGCCAACACCACCCATCGCAAACTCTTGGGCTACTCTTTTGCCAACGAAAAGTAGGATTGACCGTCATATTATAATGTTCCAATGGGTGAAGGGATTCGAACTCGAGACTCGCAGATTGAGAATCGAGCGCCCTAACCACCAGGCCATAATAATTTAGTACTTCTACCAATATATTTTCACTCAATTTCCCGAAAAATTCTGTTTCAACGTAACCACGGTCAAATTGGCAACAAAAATTGCAAAAAACAAACAAATAAAGAATATGTTAATCAAAACTTATAATCTTTTAAAATTATCGAAAAAATTTATTAAATAATATAACGTGGAACGTTGATGCATAATAAGATAACTTGTTTAGAATAAATTATATATTAAACAAAAATCAAGCTTTAGTAACGTTGAGCACTTGAGTTGAGCGTAAAATATATGTATTTTTTAATTGTATTACAAAACAATATTTATTTGTTTGGCTTTGTTCGTTAATTTTATTATTCACTAATTTTACGAATACATTATTAGCCTTTTAGACTTAACTTCAACTCGGAATGTTTGGTACTGATAACAAGAATTAGCTTTTTTAAACATTTTCTTAGACTTTCTTTGATTAACGGGAGTTATGTGATTCTATTGTAAGATGTAATGTAAATATTATTTTCATGTCAGCATAAAGAACAGCGCGACATCTATCACAAGAGTAGTATCACATAAAGTAGGCATCATTGATGAAACAACAAACAATGAACAACTGGTTTTATATTAATCAACCTAGAACGTAAACAAATAGTAATCTTCAAATAATGTTTAAACAATAAGTTTGCAGGTATTTTAAAGGCCTCTCTATCAACTGATCCATTATGGGTTTCGAGTTTGAAAAGTTTAATAATAGCGTTTCGGTTATATACAATTTATCTTTGATGGTTGTTTACCATTTACTATGTTTGGCGTTACATATCGTCCAAATAAGATATTTAAGCACATTTCAACTAAAAGTGTTTTGTCGTACAATTTATTAAAATAACTAAGAAAACCACCAGGTGGCTGTTTTTCCTCTTTTTAAAAT